GTAAAAGTAGAAGAACTCAGATCTTGTACTTGAGTAAAAGTAGAAGTACTCAATCTTGTACTTGAGTAACAGTAGAAGTACTCATATATTGTACTTGAGTAAAAGTAGAAGTACTCATATATTGTACTTGAGAGTAAAAGTAGAAGTACTCAGATTGTAGTAAAAGTAGAAAGTACTCATATATGTACTTGAGTAAAAGTAGAAGTACTCTTATTTGTACTGAGTAAAAGTAGAAGTACTCAGATCTTGTACTTGAGTAAAAGTAGAAGAACTCAGATCTTGTACTTGAGTAAAAGTTAGAGAAGTACTCAGATCTTGTACTTGAGTAACAGTAGAAGTACTCATATTGTACTTGAGTAAAAGTAGAAGTACTCATATATTGTACTTGAGTAAAAGTAGAAGTACTCATATATTGTACTTGAGTAAAAGTAGAAGTACTCAGATCTTGTAGTAAAAGTAGAAGTACTCATATATTGTACTTGAGTAAAAGTAGAAGTACTCATATGTACTTGAGTAAAGTAGAAGTACTCATATATTGTACTTGAGTAAAAGTAGAAGTACTCAGATCTTGTAGTAAAAGTAGAAGTACTCATATATTGTACTTGAGTAAAAGTAGAAGTACTCATATATTGTACTTGAGTAAAAGTAGAAGTACTCATATATTGTACTTGAGTAAAAGTAGAAGTACTCATATATTGTACTTGAGTAAAAGTAGAAGTACTCATATATTGTACTTGAGTAAAAGTAGAAGTACTCAGATCTTGTAGTAAAAGTAGAAGTACTCATATTTGTACTTGAGTAAAAGTAGAAGTACTCATATCTTGTACTTGAGTAAAAGTAGAAGTACTCAGATCTTGTACTTGAGTAAAAGTAGAAGTACTCAGATCTTGAGTGAGTAAAAGTAGAAGTACTCATATATTGTACTTGAGTAAAAGTAGAAGTACTCAGATCTTGTAGTAAAAGTAGAAGTACTCATATAGTACTTCAGTAAAAGTAGAAGTACTCATATATTGTACTTGAGTAAAAGTAGAAGTACTCAATATTGTAGTAAAAGTAGAAGTACTCATATATTGTACTTGAGTAAAAGTAGAAGTACTCATATATTGTACTTGAGTAAAAGTAGAAGTACTCATATATTGTACTTGAGTAAAAGTAGAAGTACTCGATCTTGTAGTAAAAGTAGAAGTACTCATATTGTACTTAGTAAAAGTAGAAGTACTCATATATTGTACTTGAGTAAAAGTAGAAGTACTCATATTGTACTTGAGTAAAAGTAGAAGAACTCAGATCTTGTACTTGAGTAAAAGTAGAAGTACTCAGATCTTGTACTTGAGTAAAAGTAGAAGTACTCATATATTGTACTTGAGTAAAAGTAGAAGTACTCATATATTGTACTTGAGTAAAAGTAGAAGTACTCATATATTGTACTTGAGTAAAAGTAGAAGTACTCAGATCTTGTACTTGAGTAACAGTAGAAGTACTCATATATTGTACTTGAGTAAAAGTAGAAGTACTCATATATTGTACTTGAGTAAAGTAGAAGTACTCATATATTGTACTTGAGTAAAAGTAGAAGTACTCATATATTGTACTTGAGTAAAAGTAGAAGTACTCAGATCTTGTACTTAAGTAAAGTAGAAGTACTCAGATCTTGTACTTGAGTAAAAGTAGAAGAACTCAGATCTTGTACTTGAGTAAAAGTAGAAGTACTCAGATCTTGTACTTGAGTAACAGTAGAAGTACTCATATATTGTACTTGAGTAAAAGTAGAAGTACTCATATATTGTACTTGAGTAAAAGTAGAAGTACTCATATATTGTACTTGAGTAAAAGTAGAAGTACTCAGATCTTGTAGTAAAAGTAGAAGTACTCATATATTGTACTTGAGTAAAAGTAGAAGTACTCATATATTGTACTTGAGTAAAAGTAGAAGTACTCATATATTGTACTTGAGTAAAAGTAGAAGTACTCAGATCTTGTAGTAAAAGTAGAAGTACTCATATATTGTACTTCAGTAAAAGTAGAAGTACTCATATATTGTACTTGAGTAAAAGTAGAAGTACTCATATATTGTACTTGAGTAAAAGTAGAAGTACTCATATATTGTACTTGAGTAAAAGTAGAAGTACTCATATATTGTACTTGAGTAAAAGTAGAAGTACTCAGATCTTGTAGTAAAAGTAGAAGTACTCATATATTGTACTTCAGTAAAAGTAGAAGTACTCATATATTGTACTTGAGTAAAGTAAGAAGTACTCAGATCTTGTACTTGAGTAAAAGTAGAAGTACTCAGATCTTGGAGTAAAGTAGAAGTACTCATATATTGTATTGAGTAAAAGTAGAAGTACTCAGATCTTGTAGTAAAAGTAGAAGTACTCATATATTGTACTTGAGTAAAAGTAGAAGTACTCATATATTGTACTTGAGTAAAAGTAGAAGTACTCAGATCTTGTAGTAAAAGTAGAAGTACTCATATATTGTACTTGAGTAAAAGTAGAAGTACTCATATATTGTACTTGATAGTAAGTACTCATATATTGTACTTGAGTAAGTAGAGTACTCAGATCTTGTAGTAAAAGTAGAAGTACTCATATATTGTACTTCAGTAAAAGTAGAAGTACTCATATATTGTACTTGAGTAAAAGTAGAAGTACTCAGATATTGTACTTGAGTAAAAGTAGAAGAACTCAGATCTTGTACTTGAGTAAAAGTAGAAGTACTCAGATCTTGTACTTGAGTAACAGTAGAAGTACTCATATATTGTACTTGAGTAAAAGTAGAAGTACTCATATATGTACTTGAGTAAAAAGTAGAAGTACTCATATATTGTACTTGAGTAAAAGTAGAAGTACTCAGATCTTGTAGTAAAAGTAGAAGTACTCATATATTGTACTTGAGTAAAAGTAGAAGTACTCATATATTGTACTTGAGTAAAAGTAGAAGTACTCAGATCTTGTACTTGAGTAAAAGTAGAAGTACTCAGATCTTGTACTTGAGTAAAAGTAGAAGAACTCAGATCTTGTACTTGAGGTAAAGTAGAAGTACTCAGATCTTGTACTTGAGTAAAAGTAGAAGTACTCATATATTGTACTTGAGTAAAAGTAGAAGTACTCATATATTGTACTTGAGTAAAAGTAGAAGTACTCAGATCTTGTAGTAAAAGTAGAAGTACTCATATATTGTACTTGAGTAAAAGTAGAAGTACTCATATATTGTACTTGAGTAAAGTAGAAGTACTCAGATCTTGTACTTGAGTAAAAGTAGAAGTACTCAGATCTTGTACTTGAGTAAAAGTAGAAGTACTCAGATCTTGTACTTGAGTAACAGTAGAAGTACTCATATATTGTACTTGAGTTAAAAGTAGAAGTACTCATATATTGTACTTGAGTAAAAGTAGAAGTACTCATATATTGTACTTGAGTAAAAGTTAGACGTTACTCAGATCTTGTAGTAAAAGTAGAAGTACTCATATATTGTACTTGAGTAAAAGTAGCAGTACTCATATATTGTACTTGAGTAAAAGTAGAAGTACTCAGATCTTGTACTTGAGTAAAAGTAGAAGTACCAGAGTGTAGGAATACTCTGTTACAGTAAAAGTCCTGCATTCAAAGTGTTACTCAAGTAAAAGTATAAAAGTTAAGATATTAAATATGAAATAAAGTATATTTTGCCGCTATGAAAGAGAAAACACATCGACACCAAAGAATGGAACCGAACGCCTCGATGTTTAAAAAGTATTTTGTAGATTTTTTTATTTCAAAGTCTTACCATTTATTTAGGGAAACTTTTAACATTTGTTCTTCTCATAATGAAAATGTTACATTTATCAATCTGCATAAAACATCACATGTACAGTACATCAAAAATAAATTACATCATCTGGTGGGTTTGATTGAGCTCGTCAGTTTCTACGCTTTATTTACATCGCAAACCTTTTCACGTCTGCAGCTATTTTACAATTTTCTTTTTTTAGAAACCAGCGGGGTCCAGAGCTGGAGACTGAGAGGCCGGATCTATAACATTGAAATACATGTGAGAAAGGCCTTAAAGTCACAGATTTAACTAGAGTAAAGCCAGCAGAGCTGGACCTGCTGATACAAACATCCTTTCCACAGGCAGGGGGCAGGACACAGTTACAAATAATGAGGAAAGGAATACAAAAAAAAAGCTTTTCCATATTTCCTTCCTCTTATTAACAGTTTGTGGCTAGGACATGTGCATGTAAACAAAAAATCCACCTTTTCACCTGCAAATGTGTCGCCTTTAAGACTCGTACAGTTGTAATCCTTAAGATTCAGGCGAGGTTGTTCGTGCATGTTGTGTTGCACAGTGTTCAGACCTGTATTAATGGATCTACTCAGCGCTGCCACTTAACATGTGAATTTGGCCAGTTATGATCCAATAATAGGGTTTTTTTTCCCCGTTGACCTCCATTTTCAAGACAAATCTTTAACTGTAAACCAACATTTAAAAGGTCCCATGTCATGGCCATTTCTACTGATCATAATTCCATTGTTGAGGTCTACTAGAATGGATTTATATTGTTCAATGTTCCAAACTCACATTGGTTTCTCATACAGCATCTCTGTATAGTATGTGTATTCACTCTCTGTCCTAAACGGCTTGTTGGAGCTCCTACTCTGATTGGTCGGGACGTTGCGAGGCTCGCTGCTCAGTGAGCTGGCTTACTGGTGTGGTTTCCGGGTCGGCGATACAGCGGGACAGCGCGAAACTCATCCTGAGCACACACAAACACTCACAGCCGAAGTAAAAACAATAAGTGTGGCTTGATATTGAGTAAGAAAAAGGTTTATAACGCTGTGAGAATGGGTCTGCAGAGAGCATTTCTCCACCATCCCAACTCGTCTATTACCAGCGTTCAGGGAGCTCTATGCAAGTCAATGGGACTCCCTGTTAGTTGAAATGTACGCTAAAGGTCCCCCCACTGCGTTTGATAGTGACGCGGATTGGTCCATTTTGACGTCATGCGGTTCCCGGAAAGAAACAAATGGAAAAAGAGAAATCTCCAACGAGGCGTTCTGGGGCAGCATAGACAGGTCTTCTCTGTGTTAGAGTTTTACTCGCTACAGGGTGTACTTTGAGGGTTTGAGACTCTGCAGACCGTTTACATGCAGAAACACCTTCATAACACACAAGGGGACGGGTAATAACCAGAAAAGCATGACATGGGCCCTTTTAAAACCTTTTGCACACACTAATAGCATGGGCAGGTGTGTGCACCAATTTGTTTTGAGTCTAGTTATTACATTCGTGGTTCAGACAGGAGGCTAGGTGAACTTTGAGGCAATGCAACAATGCAAGTAGACGCAAATGCACAGGGTTTGAGCGTTATTTGACCGTTTTGTGTGAGTTGAAAATGCAAGAAATGTACAGGTTACCGGCATCTAAATGAATCTGATTGGTGAAGGTGCAGAAATGAGAGGAAATATGAGATAATGAAAGAAGGAACCAGAGTTTATGTTGAAGTCAAAGAACACAAACGCTGTTGGCTGGGCTAACTCACAGCTAATGTAGCTTTCCACAATTTGCTGTCTCATTAAAGTTCAGCCAGGATCGTTTTTAAAGATTATAAGCACTAACCTTGGAGACAGTACTTCCTGTGAGTGCTTCACGATAAAAGCCACCGTATGTTTTGATATTTTAAACAACAGAAATGGCAGCAGGAAGTGTCTGGTTAGCATTGAAGCTAAGTGGGAGCGTAAACATAACATGACATAAGCTAAAAATAAAATGGAAAGTAATGCCTGCATTGTTTCTGGTGAAGAAGAATGTGAACCCAGTATATGGGAATATCAGACTCCGCCGTTTAAACAAATCGAAACCACTGAATATAAATATGTGGAGTGGCTATTGCAGGAAAAACCAACCATAAATAGTTTTAAAAATATCAGTTTGACTTCAGGAAAATCTTAAAGATTACAACTCTTTCAGACACATTTTCCAGGATCCTTTCAATACATTTTTACAATTAACAAAAATACTAACAAAGTGCTTTAATCCCCTTTACTTCCTCTATCTGTGTCCTGCCCCTTTACTTCCATTTCACACCCAAAACCTTCACCTTTCTCACCAAGATTTCTGGGTCTTTTTTCCCTCCGTCCTCCATCACCTGGCGCTTTAAAGTTCAACACTGACTCCTTCTCTTGTTTCCTGTTTCCTCTCTTGTTTCCTCTCTTGTTTCCTCTCTTGTTTCCTCTCTTGTTTCCTCTCCTATTTCCCATCATGCCTTCAGTATCATCAGTCTTTGCTTCTCGTGGCAGAAGGGGCTAGACATCATCTATTTTATTTACATGGCCTCCTGCTGGGTGGAGAAGGAGGAAGGAGGGGAGGGAGAGGAGGAGGAGGAGGAGGAGGAGGGATGGGGGACGTTTCAGAAACAACTCCTCCTTCATATCGATACTTCATACTCACGAGAGTCCTGGTAATGAGAGAGAAATAGAAGTTAGTACTAAGGTAAGGTTATTTATAAAGCACATTTTCAGACACAGGCAATTCAAAGTGCTTCACATCAACATTAACACTTAATAAGACCTTAAAAGAGATACAGAATAGTTTAAAAACAACATTGTAAATACAGTAGGTGCTAAACAAGTTAAAAGGCTTCTGGGTAGTCAGCTGAGGTGGAAGAAAAACTCAGATATTTTACTTAAAGAGGCCCCCATGTGTAGTTTTCCCTCTCCTGTAGTGTGCTCTTTAGGTGTTAGTGCATGTCAATGGTCTGCAAAGGCAAAAATCCCAGAGTTCTGCAACAAAGTGACATCACTATGGAATACTTGACTCCTATTGGCTAGCGCTCCAACAGATTGTACGTGATAGGCTAAGGGGCGGGACATCTGTAAGTTGTTTGAGCAATCACAACAGAGTCTGCAAATAGATGTAGGGCAGTAACAAGTAACATATTTTCTTCCAAATTTAAGTGGATTAGAAGTATAAAGAGGCGAATAAAAGTACCTTAAAATTATACTTAAGCACAGTACTGAAGTAAATGTACTTAGTTGTAGCAGTGTGTGTCCATAGTTATAAATAGATGTAGGTATTACAGTAATATGGCTCTGAGAAGGTATTGCAGTGAGACAGATTGTTTACATTTGATATAACAGTTTTAATGTTTTTAATTTTCATTTGAATTGTTAAGTTTCTTTTACCACTCTTTTAAGTATTTTAAGTATTGTATTATAAAGTCTGAACACACTTATGCTTCTGTGGCGATAGAATTTCCCAAATCGGGATCAATAAAGTATCCATCTATCTATCTATCTATCTATCTATCTATCTATCTATCTATCTATCTATCTATCTATCTAGATCAGGGGTGTCAAACTCAATTTCATCGCGGGCCACATTCGAATAAAGGTTGCACTCAAAGGGCCGGTTGTAACTATATAAATGTACATATATAAATATATAATATATATAAAATAATGTATTATATCACATTATTGCCTCTGAATTGGATTATTATCGGATAGGATAATAACTTAGTAATTAACTACGTCTGAACGCAGAAGTCCAGGGCAAATCATTGCAAGTCTCTTCAGTGCGCATGTCAAAAAAACGAGATGCATTGTGGGACATGTAGTTTATGGGCAACCTGCTTCTGTAAAGTGGCATGTAACCGTATTATAAACGTATTATATTCTTTGCAAGCTCTTAAGGGGCCACATAAAATGAAGTCGCGGGCCGGATTTGGCCCCCGGGCCTTGAGTTTGAGACCCCTGATCTAGATGGTGTTAGTGACGCTGCTCAGTGTTGGTTTTATTTCTTAAATCTCTCCACACTCACTCCTCCGGTCTCATACAGCGGGTTATCGAACTCCGTCTACTTTTCTGGTTCTTCGAGGTATGTTTTGAAATAATATTACTGTACATAATGAACCTGCAAAGTGACAAATACTGTCAAATAGATATAAGGCAGTAAAAAGTAACATATATTCTTCCAAATGTAAGTGGAAGTAGTAGTAGTATGAAGAGGCAAATAAAAGTTAAAATAAATAGTTATTAGCAGTGTGTGTGTGTCCATAGATATAAATAGATGTAGGTATTACAGTAATATGGCTCTGAGAAGGTATTGCAGTGAGACAGATTGTTTATATTTGATATAACAGTTTTAATTTTTTTAATTTAAATTTAAATTGTTAAGTTTCTTTTACCACTCTTTTAAGTATTTTAAGTATTGTATTATAAAGTCTGAACACACTTATGCTTCTGTGACGATAGAATTTCCCAAATCGGGATCAATCAAGTATCTATCCATCTATCTATCTATCTATCTATCCAGCTATAGAGAGAGAGCTATCGAGCCAGCCAGCCAGCCAGCCAGCCAGCGAGCGAGCGAGCCAGCCAGCCAGCCAGCGAGCGAGCCAGCGAGCCAGCGAGCCAGGAGCCAGCCAGCCAAGCCAGCCAGCGAGCGAGCGAGCGACGAGCCAGCGAGCCAGCGAGCCAGGCCAGCCAGCCAGCAGCCAGCGAGCGAGCCAGCGAGCCAGCGAGCCAGCCAGCGAGCGAGCGAGCGAGCCAGCAGCCAGCCAGCCACAGCCAGCGAGCGAGCAGCGAGCCAGCGAGCCAGGAGGCAGCCAGCCAGCAAGCCAGCCAGCCAGCAGCCAGCCAGCCAGCCAGCAGCGCAGCGAGCGAGCGGAGCCAGCCAGCCAGCCAGCCAGCCAGGCCAGCGACGAGCAGCCAGCGAGCCAGCGAGCAGCGAGCGCAGCCAGCAGCGAGCGAGCAGAGCGACAGCGAGCCAGCGAGCCAGCCAGCCAGCCAGCCAGCCAGCCAGCAGCCGAGCGAGCAGCGAGCCAGCGAGCCAGCGAGCCAGCAGCCAGCCAGCCAGCCAGCCAGCCAGCCAGCCAGCCAGCCAGCCAGCCAGCGAGCGAGCTAGCGAGCCAGCCAGCCAGCCAGCCATCCAGCATCCACGAGCATGAGCCAGCGAGCCAGCTACACATCTATCCAGCTATCCATCCAGCAGCATCCACCATCCATCATCCATCCATCCATCCATCCATCCATCCATCCATCCATCCATCTATCTATCATCCATCCATCCATCCATCCATCCACATCCATCCATCCATCCATCTATCTATCTATCTATCCATCTATCTTCCATCCATCCATCCATCCATCCATCTATCTATCTATCCATCCATCCATCCATCCATCCATCCATCCATCCATCCATCCATCTATCTATCTATCTATCCATCTATCTAGATGATGTTAGTGATGGTGCTCAGTGTTGGTATTATTTCTTAAACTCACTCCTCCGGTCTCATACAGCGGGTTATCGAACTCCGTCTCCACGGTGATCTGTCGGTACGGGTGGGGGTAGATCAGAGGAAGCCTCAGGTTGGAGTGATATCTGCACCTGAGGGGAGGAAGAGGAGGAAGAGGAGGAGACAGAAAAACATATTACGGTATTACAGAGAGCCAGTTTGGAGAAGATGTTCCAGAGGGAGGTTTTACATGTTTTTAATCAAGTAACATTAGGGTGTCTTGGTTTGATAAACAGTAATTTATAGCAATTTAAACACTTGAAAAACAGCTTTATCAATTAGAGACCTAGTTTGGAGAATCACATTTAATTGTACTTAATTAAATCAATTATAATATATACACTAACGCTTGTTTCTTACCGTGTCACGTAGACATAAGCGCCCCCGAGCAGCACGGACAGAACCAGAACGATGATGAAGATGGCGAGCGCCACGTTTCCTCCGTCCAGCGTGGAGCCTGCCGTCGCTCGAGCCACTGAGAGAAACAACACATTAATAAAACCGGTTAATTAAAACCAATCACACAACCTCAGTGAGTCCAGGTGAGGAAGGCAAAGCACACACAGGTGTAAAAACATGCAAACAGGCGGGAACACACACACAAAACAGGCAGAGGTTTGCAGGCAGAGCAGAAACAGAGAGGCTAGTTGCCAGAAAATGTATAATAGGGGTTCGATTTTGGACAATTTTGGAGTGGTTTTGGTGTTGTAATGGAAATTGTTGGGAAAATACTCTTCCAATATCAGAGTAACATGCTAACAAAGGTATCCCAACTGTAGCTGTGAACATGACAGGATGTATGATTACCTAGAAGAGCATCAGGACTGTTTGAGGCATATGATAGCTATGTGATTAACATGATGATTCAGCCTCTATGGAGATAGACATATGACAAGCATGCTCATTTCTGACGTGGAGCTAATCTGAAGTAAACATTGAATACTGCTTTCTATTCCTCCATCTTGTGACTGTGTAACTCCCTCTCTTGGATATCAGCATGTGAAGGACACTGTTCAGGAACTAGTTGATGCTCTGGATGTGATGACTACTTCCATTCTGGAGAGGATCACAGATACATGGATCCTGAGATTGAAGCTCAAGCCGGGGACCAGTGATATGTTGCTAACAGAAATTATGATTATCAGAGAATTGAATGCTATGATGTTATATTTAACATATAAATAATACAATTGTGTAAGCCTTCGTTGTCAAGAGACAGTAGATCTCAGCACTCAGGAAGGTGATCAGCCACAAGGTGTCATGTGACCACACAGTGATCTGATCATGGGTCTATTGTTACGGGCCGTCTCCACGGCAGCGTTAAAAAAATCTTGGAGGTGGGCGTATCTGAAGCTTGAGGATTTTTTGCGAGCAACCAATCACATGAATCTCCCGCCCGCGACATACGAAGCAAAAAAGCCCGAAGTAAACTGGATATAAACTCCCCAAAACAGGCGAAAACATACCACTGTCTCTGCCACCTCCCTCCATGCCTGGCTCCTCCGGTTTATATCCCGGTAGGTCTGGTCATAAAGCACCGGGTGATTGATTCGCTGCCGCTAATTTCTCCTCCATTTTTTGGAATATGAGGAAATGACCTGCGGTCTGTCTCTCCCAGCATACACGCCGTTTGATTGGCTAGAGCTTGAACTGTCAGATTTGCGTACACGGGATTTGATTGGCTGACGCTTCCACCTCAGCCTCAAAAGTTGAACATTGTTCAACTTTGAATCCTGAAAATCCTGAAAATCTCCGCTCGCCTGCCCACAATGCATTTCGGCGAAAGCGAAAAAAAGTGACGTCACCCCATTCAAAGTGAATGGGCAGAAGCGTTTCAAGATATTTTAACGCTGCCGTGGAGACGGCCCGTTAGGGTCAGGGGTCAGTTATCTCATGACTAAGCAAGTATTCATTGTAACTGTATAAAAGCGCTCTCTTCAGTTTGAGTAGTTGCACTCGGCTGTGGAGACATTGCTCTTCATGTTGTTTGCCTCTTTTGCAAAAGATTAAAGGACCAGAAAGACATCTCTTTGACTAGTTCATATCAAGAATTTCCACCACAGTGAATCCATTTCTGACATTTTCAGGATCAGAAATGGCAGTTTAAACCAGTATTTGTTGCTCCTAGGGGTTGATTTTGATGAATAATTGGCTGATTTTGATCCTGAAAATGTCAGAAATGGATTCAGCATCCTCAGTTACCGCCACAACCACTTTGCCAGCATATGCTAATTAACGCAACTTATGCTAATTGTGCCCGTGGGACCCTTACTATACATTTCCAGTTTCACAACAGGACTCTAAGAGCTGGCAACTAGACTAATGGCGCTTTTCCACTGCAGGGCCTCGCTCGGCTTAGTACGGTATGGCTAGGCCTCGTTAGGCCTCGATAGGCCAGGCTCACTTTATGCTGCGTTTCCATTACAGTTTAGGAACTGGGGCAGTAACTATAGTAACGCAGTGTAGGCGGAGCCGTGACGTCATCTTCAATGCGAAACACAAAACCAACATCAGCCGTTAGGGTTAGGGTTAGAGGTGAAGTGTTTGTTATTTATTTTTGTTGCGGGGGTCTTTTCAGCCCACAGCAACATGGAGGACAGGTAACACTCACCTTCCAGATCATGGTGGTCAAAGCAGCTACTGTAGGCTGCAAGACATCATTCTGAGTGTCAGTCACATGATGGAAATACACATCTCACTTCTTCTTCTGGGGTTTGTGTGGAACAAGGGGGGTTTGAATGACCGTTTGCTAATCCTCATGCTCTGTACTCTCATGGAGGGAGAGACGACGGGCCATGGGTACATGCATGAAAACAGCCCACCATCTTTCCTACATGGAGCACTATTTCATTTTAGGATTTAATTGTATTCAATTTTATTTACTATAAATGTCATTTAATTTAATTGTATGTTTTTAATTCAGTTATATTTAATTGTATTTAATTAAAGAAAATGGAGCCATTCTTACGTAACCATCAGCTTAAATAAACTATTTCTCGGGACCCACTTTTTCCTTTGTCAATAAATCGCGACCCGAAATTTTGAACCACTCAAATCTATTCAACAAAAAATTGTGCTGTAATATATACGCTTTTCAGCAGATTTCGAGATTTTTAGAAATACTAACATATAAACTACGCATTCTGGTACACTCTGAGAAGAAAATAAATAAATCTATTACTACGACATATTAATAATATTTTATGCCATTGTTTGTTTTTCACTTAGTTCTGAGCAAAGAGGAGAGAGTCTGTGTGAACTACTTTAAATTGTGGGTGAGGGTAGATAGCCCCCATTGTTCTGTGACCTGTCAGTCATCAAACCGGGGGTCATATTTCATTATGTGTTCATTTTGATCTGAAGTCGTACCCATGGATGTATAAAGAATAGTTCTACCTCAAAGTTATTCTCCGTGGGGACTTCCGGCAACAATCTTGACTCGAAAAAACATCAGCAAAGATGTTTTATTGAGAAGATGATCACTACGTGGCAGAAGTTTTCAAAACCGTTTATGGTCTCCGGTACTTCCAGTCCAACGCCGACTGCATGCACAGCGCTAGAAAATCGGGCCTTCAAAATAAAAGTTTGACTATTTTTCCACAAAAAAAAAAAATTGTATTTATTTTTTCTTCACTCACACATCTGCGACCCACTCGAAACGGGTCCGCGACCCACCAGTTGAGAACCACTGATCTAAAACATGGTGTTGATTTAGAGGAACTTAAAGAGGTTCTATCATATGATATTAAATGCCTCATATACTCTGAAAGTAAAGAGGAAGAGCCTCTAATGAAGCTCAGCGCAAGTTCTTTCAGGAAGACTGGTATACATTCACTCTGCTTATAATCAGCTCATCAGGCTCTCTGTTAACCTATTACATTCACCTCAATCTCCAGCAGCCAATCAGCGTGCTGCAGCCAAACTTTAAAATGGTTCTCCTCTCTCCTGCAGTCAGCTGTGATTTCAGGTGTTCATGCTGCCGCCCGCCTCCTCCCCATCCCCATCCACCTCCTTTCATCACATCCAGTGCCAGGAGAGCTAATCCAAAGACCTCATCACACCTCCTCTTCATCCCATCTCCTCATCACACCTCCTCTTCATCCCATCTCCTCATCAAATCCAGATCTTCAGCATCATCACCAGTGTCTAGACCCCGGGGGGGGTTCCCTATATGCTCACGGCTGCATTTCCCCCTTTAGATATACGATGTCAGGATCGGGGTCTAATCGCCAAAGACTTAACTTTTATCATATGACATGTGTCAATAAATGTTCTTTAAACTAAATGAAGTCTCTCCTGATTGAACTGACAGCTGGTCATGTGATTAGCATGCATCCCGAGGCACTTCTTTTTGGGAAATGAAGTAGGTAAATCTAGTGAAGAAGTTGGCATCATTGGTAGCTTTCAGAGACCCAAAGCACCATGATGTTTGAGATGCCAGAAACATATTTAGTAAGTCCCAAAAATACAGTAGCCGATGCCAAATATCACAGAATGTCCTACCAGTCACATTCTGCAGTTTGTAAGCCAGCGTGCTTATCTGAGTGCGTCTTATTCAACAGTTCTTATGATCAGGGGTGCACATAACTGGAACGCAGGTAAGCATGCGCGGCAAGCATCTGAAATGCGTACCGTCACTTGTCTCACTAAGTGCATTTGCGTACCGTCACTTGTCTCACTAAGCGCATTTGCGTACCGTCGGACTTGTGAAGCTTTTCCAGAAGGCGCTGCGATCACTGGACGACAGAGCCGGTCGCCGTGCGCACAGACGGGGCTGCTGTTAACGTCGGTGTGTACAACAGAATTGAGCCACAACGTCCGGCGCGTGCTCCACTAGCGCCCACCCTCACCCCGTCGACGTCCGCGAAACAGAGGGGCTGAACACAGAACCTTGCGTGGGCAGCCCTGCGTACCAAACATTGTCTCCTGGTACTCATTTGAGTAACTCACTAAGACAGTTATGTGCACCCCTGATTATGATCCTAGTTTTTAGTTAATCTGTTTCCTGGTGTATTTTGAAAGGTTGTGTCTGTTCTGATGTCTGTCCTGGATTATTATATTTTAAACTGGAGAGGCTGCTTTCTGTTTTTATGTCGCCCCAAACTGTGGATTCCCATTTGATCTTAGAACAGCAACCTCCATTGGAATGTTTTTAAGTAAATTAAGCTCCCTCTGGATGAAACACACAGATTTTTACATGCACTAACACCTATAGAGCAATGTGCAATAAACCTGCAATGTGCAATTTAAACACTTACTTGCAATAGTACTGCGCTATAATCACCAAAATGTATTTATTTTTAAGGGTTACAATACTTGATATGCTATCTCTGTCACTTAGTTTTACTGAAATTGCTTATACTCATTTTTGAAGTCATCTTTGAGTGCCTATTTGTCTTCATTTGTATTACTAATGAGTGCTTTGCTTATTTTTAATATGTCATGCCTTTTTTTTATGCCACTTTGTCTGTAACACTCTCAATGTCCCTGCTGTTGGACTAATTAAGGAATTCTTGTGATTAGCAAACGGTCATTAGCATGCATCGGGGGAGGGGGGTCACGATCAATCTGTATCAACGAGCATTGGGGAGGGAAAGTATACTGAATACTGACTTCATGCATGAATCCAAAAGCCTTTCTGAGCAGTCTCACCCATGCAGAACGGGAGAGGGCCGCTCCAGAAGGACGGGGTTCCCATGATGCATTTAATTGCGTCCTCTCCAATTAGCTCGTAACCCTGGTAACAGACGAAGGTGAGCGACTCCCCGGGTAGGTACAGCCTCTTGGACAGGATCTGGTATCCGTTGTCGGGCAGACCGGGATTCTCACAGGAAACAGACTCCTCCGCTGGGTAAAGACAGAGGAAGAAGCAAAAGAAAAAACATGGAATATTTAGGCCCAATTCCAAACCACACCCTACCCACTCCCCCTCCGTGATGGAGTGATAGGTCTGTAGTCTCACTCGCAGCTGAACGAGGCTCCCTTCTTAAATCTGATGTGTCTCAGCTGCATAGTTTTGCAACAGTCTCTGTAAATATACAACACTTTTACAGTTTTCTAGATTCATAATGAGTAAATTATCCTAAATTAAAAAACAATTCGAGGTAACCATGAAGTTGTTAACATCTGTATGTCAATATTAAATGTCCATCACGCTGTGCAGTTTATCAGTTAATGTTTTCACGGAACTATTTGTAAGCACCTTGTTCCCCTCTGTGCGAACGCGCAAACGGAGGGGTAGTGTGCAGGGGGCGGTTTGGAATTGGGCCTTTGAGTTTCTCGGCTCGGATCAGAGGGTTTTACGTCAGCTCGAATGTCAGATCTGACAGTTTCTCTCATGCTGAGGTGACACGACTCACGGATAATCTCCAGGTGGTGAGGGCTGATTGGTACGGTGCATTAGCATGGCATTACCATATCACACACACACACACACACACACACACACACACACACACACACACACACACACACACACACACACACACACACACACACACACACACACACACACACACACACACACACACACACACACACACCGTTGATATGAGCTGGCATGTGGAGACGCTGTGATGATCAGTGCAGGAACGAGAGAGAGAGAGAAATCACACAAACCCACTCACTGTAAAAACTCAAAATCTTGCCAAGTATATTCGTCTAATTTCTAGTCAGAATATGTCTTTAGACTCGATATACGACCTAATAACTGAAGAGGTAACAATGCAGTGAGATAGAGGGTCTTGTTTTTAGACAAGGCATCTTCAAGACTCTTGAAAACATCTTATTTTGTATCTTACTTGAAACAAGTTTTTATTTTGACTTCTTACATGTTGAACACAAATACCTGTACTTTCTACTTCTTACATGTTGAACCCAAATACCTGTACTTTCTACTTCTTACATGTTGAACACAAATACCTGTACTTTCTACTTCTTACATGTTGAACACAAATACCTGTACTTTCTACTTCTTACATGTTGAACACAAATACCTGTACTTTCTACTTCTTACATTTTGAACTCAAATACCTGTACTTTCTACTTCTTACATGTTGAACACAAATACCTGTACTTTCTACTTCTTACATGTTGAACCCAAATACCTGTACTTTCTACTTCTTACATGTTGAACCCAAATACCTGTACTTTCTACTTCTTACATTTTGAACACAAATACCTGTACTTTCTACTTCTTACATGTTGAACACAAATACCTGTACTTTCTACTTCTTACATTTTGAACACAAATACCTGTACTTTCTACTTCTTACATGTTGAACCCAAATACCTGTACTTTCTACTTCTTACATGTTGAACCCAAATACCTGTACTTTCTACTTCTCACATGTTGAACCCAAATACCTGTACTTTCTACTTCTTACATGTTGAACTCAAATACCTGTACTTTCTACTTCTTACATTTTCCAAACAGGCTGGTTCCTTTAGTTTGAATGTGTGTTTGGTGGCGTGATCATTATTATTTAGAGTCATTGCGTGCCTATTGATTTGAACACGATCCGTGTATCCATCATTTCCTGGTCTTCTCTAAAGAAGAGGGACCAATGAAAACGTTGTCATGTTGCCGTTGTTCAGCATGGAAACATTCATTAGCTAACAATGACATTATTGTTCTATTAATATAAAGGGAGGTCAGGTACTCTTTAAAACAGCTGCTAGTTATGGGTACTTTTACTGAAGTACATTTCAAAGCCCTCTTTACTTTCACTTGAGTAAAGAAGTTTAGTCAGTACTTCTACTTTCACCAGAGTATTTTTAAACACGAGTATCTGTACTTCTACTTGAGTAAAGGACGTGTGTACTTTTGCCCTCTCTCCCTGATACTCACTAACACAGTGGGGGAGTTTGGCGGTCCACACGGGGGTCCCCGGCTCTCGTCCGTAGCAGCTGATGGTGGCGCCGCCCTGCAGGATGAAGCCGGCGGTGCAGCTGTACTGAATCGTTGTTCCCACCAGGAGCTTGGTGTCGGAGAGGGAGCGGGTCGAGTGCTCCACGTGTCCCGGGTCTGAGCAGTACATGACTGAGAAACACACGGAGAGACATTCATATCATCAGAACTAAGTGTTTATAAGAATCAGTCATCCAAAAGTTAAGGAAAGTATCACTTAGACAGATTTTAAATGGCTTGTTGGAGCTGTTTTGGATAATTTAATAAATGCACAAACGGAGATTCTTGTCTGGATTTGGATCATTGCTTTGATTTTAAGTTAATTATCTGTTTCATTTCTATATGATTCTGCCGCTCCATGGCTCTTTCTACATTGTGCACTTGCCCATAATTCTGTCAAACCATTTGTTGCCAATTATAAATGAAAGTTTCCACAGCATTTTGGCCTCCATCATTTCTTGGAAAGAAGCAGACACGGAGAACAACAAAGACACCATCTGCACGGCTTCCCATAAACAATAACAGATTGATAAATAAGATAAGAACTGACTCTTTTCGCAGAATGGCGGCTGGTTGCTCCAGGAGAGGTCCAGCTGGCAGGCGAGGGTCTCCCGGCCCACCAGGTCGTATCCCGGGTCGCACTGATAGGTGATCCGCGCCCCTCGAACCAGAGCGATGTGGGACGTGGTCTTCCATCCGTTCTGGATCTCAGGCAGGTCGGGACACGAGTCGTTTCGGGACACCTCTGCAGGGAAAAACGGTAACAAAAAAAGTTTGATTAATGTCTGGTTTAAGATAAGATAGACCTCTGAGAGAAACCACAGTGAAAAGCAGAATGACGCCATGTAATTCAGCTAACAGCTAAGCTAATGAGCTAACGTTAAGGTATTCGGATAACTAGACGTTTGGGCTAACAGCTAAGCTAATGTTGAGTCATTTAAAGGTCACCTATTATACAAAACCCACTTGTTCATGTCTCTTCTTCATCAACATGTGTCCCCTCTTCTTCACGTCTCTTCTACATCAACATGTGTCCCCTCTTCTTCATGTCTCTTCTACATCAACATGTGTCCCCTCTTCTTCATGTCTCTTCTACATCAACATGTGTCCCCTCTTCTTCATGTCTCTTCTACATCAACATGTGTCCCCTCTTCTCCATGTCTCTTCTTCATCAACATGTGTCCCCTCTTCTTCACGTCTCTTCTACATCACATGTGTCCCCTCTTCTTCATGTCTCTTCTACATTAACATGTGTCCCCCTCTTCTTCATGTCTCTTCTTCATCAACATGTGTCCCCTCTTCTTCATGTCTCTTCTACATCAACATGTGTCCCCTCTTCTTCATGTCTCTTCTACATCAACATGTGTCCCCTCTTCTTCATGTCTCTTCTACATCAACATGTGTCCCCTCTTCTTCATGTCTCTTCTACATCAACATGTGTCCCCTCTTCTTCATGTCTCTTCTTCATCAACATGTGTCCCCTCTTCTTCATGTCTCTTCTACATCAACATGTGTCCCCTCTTCTTCATGTCTCTTCTTCATCAACATGTGTCCCCTCTTCTTCATGTCTCTTCTACATCAACATGTGTCCCCTCTTCTTCATGTCTCTTCTACATCAACATGTGCCCCCTCTTCTTCATGTCTCTTCTACATCAACATGTGTCCCCTCTTCTTCATGTCTCTTCTTCATCAACATGTGCCCCCTCTTCTTCATGTCTCTTCTACATCAACATGTGCCCCCTCTTCTTCATGTCTCTTCTACATCAACATGTGCCCCCTCTTCTTCATGTCTCTTCTACATCAACATGTGTCCCCTCTTCTTCATGTCTCTTCTTCATCAACATGTGTCCCCTCTTCTTCATGTCTCTTCTTCATCAACATGTGCCCCCTCTTCTTCATGTCTCTTCTACATCAACATGTGTCCCCTCTTCTTCATGTCTCTTCTACATCAACATGTGTCCCCTCTTCTTCATGTCTCTTCTACATCACCATGTGTCCCCTCTTCTTCATGTCTCTTCTACATCAACATGTGTCCCCTCTTCTTCATGTCTCTTCTTCATCAACATGTGTCCCCTCTTCTTCATGTCTCTTCTACATCAACATGTGTCCCCTCTTCTTCATGTCTCTTCTACATCAACATGTGTCCCCTCTTCTTCATGTCTCTTCTTCATCAACATGTGTCCCCTCTTCTTCATGTCTCTTCTACATCAACATGTGTCCCCTCTTCTTCATGTCTCTTCTACATCAACATGTGTCCCCTCTTCTTCATGTCTCTTCTACATCAACATGTGTCCCCTCTTCTTCATGTCTCTTCTACATCAACATGTGTCCCCTCTTCTTCATGTCTCTTCTACATCACCATGTGTCCCCTCTTCTTCATGTCTCTTCTACATCAACATGTGTCCCCTCTTCTTCATGTCTCTTCTACATCAACATGTGCCCCCTCTTCTTCATGTCTCTTCTACATCAACATGTGTCCCCTCTTCTTCATGTCTCTTCTACATCAACATGTGTCCCCTCTTCTTCATGTCTCTTCTTCATCAACATGTGTCCCCTCTTCTTCATGTCTCTTCTACATCAACATGTGTCCCCTCTTCTTCATGTCTCTTCTACATCAACATGTGTCCCCTCTTCTTCAGGTCTCTTCTACATCAACATGTGTCCCCTCTTCCTCATGTCTCTTCTTCATCACCATGTGTCCCCTCTTCTTCATGTCTCTTCTTCATCAACATGTGTCCCCTCTTCTTCATGTCTCTTCTACATCAACATGTGTCCCCTCTTCTTCATGTCTCTTCTACATCAACATGTGTCCCCTCTTCTTCATGTCTCTTCTACATCAACATGTGTCCCCTCTTCTTCATGTCTCTTCTACATCAACATGTGTCCCCTCTTCTTCATGTCTCTTCTTCATCAACATGTGTCCCCTCTTCTTCATGTCTCTTCTTCATCAACATGTGTCCCCTCTGTGGAAAGAGACTCTGAAAGTTTCAGGAACAAAGATTCTCTCTCTTTTTGATCCATTTTTATAAAAACCTGTCTGAAAATGAGCTGATCAGATTTTGGCCACTTGATGATGTCATAACGATGTTTTGTCTTGTGTAACCATTAGCCAATCAGCAACCAAGGTAACCCCCCCCCACCTTATCACCTGAATCTCCTCCTAGAGCACCATTGAGTTATTTGTAACCAAATCTCTCTCAGAGGGGCGTGGGGAGGGGCTCCTTATTTTCATCTGAAGTAACAGACAGAGAATCAGCACTTTGGAAACAGGGTTGAAACAGAGGGGATTATGGGATGCTGCAATAATCTGTTTGGTGTTTCAGCCAATCAGAGACAGGTTCTGTATATATCTGAGACCTATAATATATTGATGAAAAACAGTATAATAGGGGACCTTTAACTAACCAGACGTTTGGGCTAACGGCTAAGCTAATAAGCTAACGAAAAACAACAGTAAGAAAAAGTTTGATTAATGGCGGTGTTACGGGGGTAACATTGCTCAGAGTCCCGGTGTGTTTCCCTCCTTCAGAAAACAAGATAAACAACAGAACATCTGACTCTCCGTGCTCTCTGTGAGGAGGAACCCAGGAGATTGATGGAGTTATTATGCGATTATCGACCGTGTGACAGAGATGGATTCCCTCGCTGTTGGACCGTCTTCAAGTTTCATCTCTGCAGAAACGAGGACAGTTTGTCTCTGAATCTGCAGATTTAACTCAGACTCCCACTGACACCGGCCTCGATAAAACCATCGCACGCTGTCACTTATCTGTCGATACGCCAGAGAAGAAAATGTTGTTTTTACGGATACAGAAAATGTGTTTATTTTTTAGTAAAGATAAATGTTCTCAAGGTCTGTTTATGGATGTTTTTCCAGAGCTTTAAACCACATCTCACCGTCTTCATCAGTGGTCAAATAATAAATAAATATGGACTTTTAATACACATCCTACTGGACACATCTCAGCAGGAAACCGATGGACTGTCCACTCCAAGTAGGGAATGAGTCCTTACCCCAAGTGAAGGAGTTCAAGTATCTCGGGGTCTTGTTCTGGAGTGAGGGAACAATGGAGCGTGAGATGGGCCGGAGAGTCGTAGCAGCGGGAGCGGTACTGCAGTCGCTTTACCGTTGTGACGAAAAGAGAGCTGAGCCAGAAGGCAAAGCTCTCTGTCTACCGGGCCATCTTCGTTCCTACCCTCACCTATGGTCATGAAGGATGGGTCATGACCGAAAGAACGAGATCGCAGATACAAGCGGCCGAGATGGGTTTTCTCCGCAGGGTGGCTGGCGTCTCCCTTAGGGATAAGGGGAGAAGTTCAGTCATCCGGGAGGGACTCGGAGTTGAACCGCTCCTCCTTCGCGAAAATGTGATTCTGCAAATTGCATATTGTTAAATGTCATTGTTGAAAAAAAATGTCTACTACAATATTAAAGCTGCTGTTACTGATATGTTTATAATAACAATGTGAGAGGTGTCTCTGGTCGCTCTGCAGCTTTCTTTGGCTTTTTTTTAAATTTATACCGAGTTTAAGCTAAGTCTGTATCTCCCCGGCTGCAATTTTAGTGTTCCAGTTTACTTAAAGGTCACCTATCATGCTATTATTAGGCAATAGCATAGGTCTCAGATATATACAAATATATAAAAAACATGTCTATGAAGTGTTTTGCTCAAAATACCAAAACAGATCACCCATTCTAGCCATGCCTCATATCCCTCTATTTCACTTCCTGTTTCAAAAGTGCTGATTGATGACAAACAATTGATTAAATAAAGGAGGGGTCTGAGCTCATGCGGGACCCGGCAGCTACTGTCTAAACTAAATGCTGCGGTGATGAAACGCCATATCATGGATTATCAAGGATTCTCTCTGAAACAGTATGGAGCTCAAAGGCTTTCTCTCTTGCCGGTTATACCACAAGGTGAGTTCCTTTTTATTTCCTGCTTCTTCACACACATGCTCTCCAGTACAGGTTAGCTCTGAGTGTTAGCGATGCTAATGTAAACACCGACCATATTACGTCCAAAACAGTCGGGCATTGTTTCTGATAGGGCCGTGGGTCCACATTTCAGATATTACGTCATATGTTGACATAAAAAAGTGCATTTTGCATGATAGGTCCCCTTTAAAATGCTCTCATTTAATCTATTTTGAGAGAAAAACCCACTGTACACCAGCTTCTCAGCAGCAAACAGCACACAGACACAGTTAGAGACTATAGCTGGTGAACATCGAGCAGCATTTAGCAGCTAAACGGACAGAAATGTGGTGGAGGAGACCAACAATGGAGCAAAAAGAGAGATTTTTAACTCTTAATTTGGACACACAACTCCCGTTAAATGATGTTGCTTTGTAACTGCAAGATGTGGAAGTAATCAAATGTATATCTCAAGCATTACACGGAATAATTAGACCCAAAACATGAATTAGTGCAGCTTAGAAGCGTCTGTTTCCATCTCTCAGTAAATCAGAAGCTCTCAATTTGTGTGTTTTTTCATTGCTAGAAACCTTTTTTCTTCATTAAATGAAAAGCAATACGGAGAATGATTAATTTTCCCGCTGATTTGTGTGGTTTTACATGCCGTATCTGAGCAGACAGCATGTATGATGAGAAGCAGCGGGAGGCTTCATCGCTCTGAAGATATTTCTAATCATGAATTCTTCTGATCTCTGATTCAAAGCCCGGCTCAAAGTTTTTATATTTCAGATCTCCCAGTCGTATTTAATAAAATCCACAGACATGAGACGGGAACACATCTCTTCCTTCAGAACCATTTTAAAATCTGCAATCAGCATAGAAAAAAGTATGGTGGCCTTGAAGGTCAAAGCACAAAAACATTTCAGAAAACAGCAGAACATTTTTTTCTCCTGTGTTTTCTAAAAGGTTTTTTTACTTTGATCAGCCTTGTGTAAAAAGCTTCTTATTTTATTTGAATTTCATCAAATGTCCGCAAAATCTAAAAAAGAAATTCATTTTTTTGGTAGGCTGGTATGCTAACATGTTAATTGTTGAAATATATCAGCACAATTATGTATATTCCTATCTTTATATAACTTTTTATATAATTTACAAAACACTAACAGAACATGCATTACCCATAAGGCCCGATATAATTTTAATGTACCACTAGAAATGTAATATTTTGTTTTTAGAATAAACCAGATAATGTCCTCTTTGGTTACCATCTATGTTATTTAATAAGTTCACAAAAAAACAACTAAATACTCTGTTGAGTATCCAGGGAAGAGATTATTATTTCAGTGGTGAGTATCGTTGTCAATAAATCTTCTTTAAAGGGGACCTATCATGCAAAATGCACTTTTGCACGTCTTTTCTACATGAATATGTGTCCCCGGTGTTCCAGGGAACTCACCAAGTGTCAGAAAACACAACCCTCTCTATTTTCCTCCATACCCAAATCTCTAAAAAAGGGGCTGCAACGGATCTGATAAAAACTGATCCAGATTTGAACACTGTCCTGACGTCAGGACGGTGGCGCTACGGCTATTGGGCCAACTCCACCAATCAGGAGGAGACAGCCACGGCCATTGCCGTTCGAAAGCGCTGGAGACGCTGTAGTACATATGCCAGGCCTGTAGGTGGTGCTGTTCTCACTGAATCAGCCCTTGCAAAAACAGAGCTAACATTTTTCAAATTGAGCGAAATGAGGCATGGCTAAAATGCATGATCTGTTTGGTATTTTGAAAAAAAAAAAGTATAAATATGCCTTATATAGGTATGGTCCTACACTATATTATTCAAATATAGCATGATAGGTCCACTTTAAGGTAATATTTTTTGCATGTCAACAAACAATTACTGCATGTATTAATCATTAGAAAATGACTGTTATGTTTCCCTCTCTTATGTTTATGTTTCTCCCTTTCCTTCTTCCTCTTGCAGGCTCATGTGTTTCTCTGCGGATGCTATTATCTCCGGTGTATAACGAGCTAGAACAAAAGGGAGAACAAATCAAAAACCCTCCTCCAGTATCCTCTCATGCCACAAAGTAAATACAGAACATTAACACAATGTTATGCTGTGTTAGAAGAGAGGAGAAAATCATTACCGAGCCTAGAGAGACACGTACATCAGTGTGTGTGTGTGTGTGTGTGTGTGTGTGTGTGTGTGTGTGTGTGTGTGTGTGTGTGTGTGTGTGTGTGTGAGATTGATCGTGCAGCGTGCAGTTTTGCATTACACTGTACAATATAATAGGCCTTGAGGGATTTGTAAGTAGAAGTTCCTGGATCAATTATTCATTCTCTATTGACTCAGCTCTCCTCCTCCGTGCTGCTAAAAGTGTGTGTAATTTATTCTGCCAACACACACACACAACACACATGTATGCAATGAAAGAGAGTAGCCTACACATTCATGCTGTGTCTACTTGATTTACTCCTGTGCTTGGTGTCAGGAGGGTGACAAGTAAATTGGACGGTTTCGTCTCGCTGCGATGCTAAATTGGACTCAGGTGTTGGAGGCCTGCTGAGAAACGCTGCGTAATATAATGGAGGAAGGAGGAAGGAAGTGTATTTGGCTGCTTGTTAAACTGCGTGCTTGTGTGCAGATGAGAGTAGACGGTGAAACAAATAGGACGTGATTGAATAAGGGCAGAGGGAAATGAAAGTATAACAAATAAAGATGAGAGTGGAGGAAAGAGGAAGATGGAAAATGGAGCTTGAGGAGAAAAAGGGTGAATTTAAATGAATGGGGAAAGTGGAAGATTGAGATCTGTTTTTTAAGGATAATGCTGCTGTTATTGTCAACAAATCTAATGAAAAATCAAATTCAACAATGTTGTCCCCTGGTTTCCTATCAGCACATTGACGTAAATCTTGTCAGTTATTTCCTAAAACAGCTGGACACTGTAGTCAAACTGACAAGAGGATATTTGTTTTCAGGCCTGAAATAATTCAGAGGGAGCTCAGAGTCATGTGGTGAAGTGGAAATGGAAAAATGAGGTTGAGAAACAACTCTCCGTGAGACAAGACCAGGCGAAAGTGTGTTGTTAGGACAGAGAAATGAAGCCAATCGGTCTAAAACCAAGTTCATTCTCTTATAATTTAACTTCACATCACCACCGCTAAGCTAAAGGCGGCTAATGTTGGGCTATAAAGGAACTACAGCACGGTCACATGACTTCACGTCACCACAGCTAAGCTAAAGGCGGCTAATGTTGGGCTATAAAGGAACTACAGCACGGTCACATGACTTCACGTCACCACCGCTAAGCTAAAGGTGGCTAATGTTGGGCTATAAAGGAACTACAGCACGGTCACATGACTTCACGTCACCACCGCTAAGCTAAAGGAGGCTAATGTTGGGCTATAAAGGAACTACAGCACGGTCACATGACTTCACGTTACCACCGCTAAGCTAAAGGCGGCTAATGTTGGGCTATAAAGGAACTACAGCACGGTCACATGACTTCACGTCACCACCGCTAAGCTAAAGGTGGCTAATGTTGGGCTATAAAGGAACTACAGCACGGTCACATGACTTCACGTTACCACCGCTAAGCTAAAGGCGGCTAATGTTGGGCTATAAAGGAACTACAGCACGGTCACATGACTTCACGTCACCACAGCTAAGCTAAAGGCGGCTAATGTTGGGCTATAAAGGAACTACAGCACGGTCACATGACTTCACGTCACCACCGCTAAGCTAAAGGTGGCTAATGTTGGGCTATAAAGGAACTACAGCACGGTCACATGACTTCACGTCACCACCGCTAAGCTAAAGGAGGCTAATGTTGGGCTATAAAGGAACTACATTACGGACACATGACTTCACGTCACCTCCGCTAAGCTAAAGGAGGCTAATGTTGGGCTATAAAGGAACTACAGCACGGTCACATGACTTCACGTCACCACCGCTAAGCTAAAGGTGGCTAATGTTGGGCGTGATGATGTTTAGTCGTCTCATTCAGACACTTGTTAGCAACCGCCGTTTTTAAATTCACCAGTGGGGTATTTACTGATGTATTTTATGTCATAGAATACAAATCTCGACAGCTTGTGTTAACCACAGACCTTATTTCGGGAAAATGCCGACTAACATCTGTGCCCTTTGACCTCTCACCCATGTAGTTGATGATGAAGCCCTCTCCCTTCCCGAAGACGAGCCCTGCTGGGTCTGAGTGGAAGGTGATGGTGAGGTCGGGGGTGGAGGAGAAGAGCTTGAAGGGAGTACTTCCTCCCACGTAACGCCCCAGGATACGGGTCATAACCTCGTCTCCGTCTGTGATGGTCAACATGTCGCTGTCGCTGATGTTCAGTCTGAGGACAGAGAGAGGGAGGTTTATTCAGTGGTAGAAGAAGTAGTGATTGTAATTTGACTTCACGTCACCACCGCTAAGCTAAAGGTGGCTAATGTTGGGCTATAAAGGAACTACAGCACGGACACATGACTTCACGTCACCAACGCTAAGCTAAAGGTGGCTAATGTTGGGCTATAAAGGAACTACAGCACGGTCACATGACTTCACGTCACCACCGCTAAGCTAAAGGTGGCTAATGTTGGGCTATAAAGGAACTACAGCACGGTCACATGACTTCACGTCACCACCGCTAAGCTAAAGGTGGCTAATGTTGGGCTATAAAGGAACTACAGCACGGTCACATGACTTCACGTCACCAACGCTAAGCTAAAGGTGGCTAATGTTGGGCTATAAAGGAACTACAGCACGGTCACATGACTTCACGTCACCACCGCTAAGCTAAAGGCGGCTAATGTTGGGCTATAAAGGAAATACAGCACGGTCACATGACTTCACGTCACCACCGCTAAGCTAAAGGTGGCTAATGTTGGGCTATAAAGGAACTACAGCACGGTCACATGACTTCACGTCACCAACGCTAAGCTAAAGGTGGCTAATGTTGGGCTATAAAGGAACTACAGCACGGTCACATGACTTCACGTCACCACCGCTAAGCTAAAGGTGGCTAATGTTGGGCTATAAAGGAACTACAGCACGGTCACATGACTTCACGTGACCACCGCTAAGCTAAAGGTGGCTAATGTTGGGCTATAAAGGAACTACAGCACGGTCACATGACTTCACGTCACCAACGCTAAGCTAAAGGTTATTCAGTGGTATAACAAGTAGTGATGAAGAAGAAGCAGAGCTGAGCAGTGGTAGAACATAAAATACAGAGTACATGGAGTATGTCCATTCTATGCTACTTTTCACAAAATGTCTACAATATGAAACCATAATAACAATATGTTTTTCTCACAGCTGTACGTCCAGCAGCACCCTCTTGTCCTCTCCAACATGGATCCTCCAGCTGCAGTCCTCCCCCTCTCCGTACCACTCAGGCCAGTTAGGAGACAAGATGACCCCCCCCGGCCCGGCCAGGTCTCCCCCACACTGAGCTGCAGAAACACACACACACACACAGGTACTTTTAAGAGAAACATCACTGTCAATAACAGGATCCGGTATGAACCAGGACATGGTTACATAGCACGCTGACGTCGCTCTGCATCGGCCAATCAGCTCGCCGCTCCTTCACTGCAAGGTGGACCCTCAACTAAAACACACCTTGATTGCTTGTACCTTGGTCATTAAAAGCAACTCTCTCACACACACACACACACACACACACACACACACACACACACACACACACACACACACACACACACACACACACACACACACACACACACACACACACCACACACACACACACACACACTTTCTGTTCTTGGTATGCAAAGGGCGTTGTGTAATTAATAGTCAAGGAAAAACTCAGTCACAGAGCCCTCGCACACAAACACAGGAATGTTAGTTTCATACACACACACACACACACACACACACACACACACACACACACACACACACACACACACACACTTAAGAGAGTTCAGCCAATTTGACTTGATGTTTCGAGTCCGTAACTTTATGGTTTATTGCCTTTCTCCTAAGTCTCTTTGGATAAAAGCATCAGCTAAATGAAGTGTAATGTAATGTAACACACATCTTATTTCCCCGGGCTTCCTCTCAGGCTTCCTCTCAGGCTTCCTCTCAGACCCATCACCCTTTATCAACCTGTACGATGCCTGAGAGGCAAAACAAAGGGCTGTGAGGCGCACAGTCCTAATGCAAGGCAACATCATGTTTTTATCAAATTAAAAACTTCTTCTGTCTGTTCTCCATAATAACACCTGACAGTGGGACGTCAAATTTACTAGAAATATTTTCTGACTATGAGTCACGGATGCGAGGCAATTTCGGGGTGTTTTTCACCTCAGAAATCAAGATTGAGAATAAAAATAATCAGCTTTTTCCATGAACCAAACTTTCCAAAAACAGCAGCTTCATATGGCAGTTTATGCTAATTGTGGGGGAAACTTCTGAAGCAATGGGAGTCAGGACTCAGAGAGACACGAGGAGAGCTGGAGCTCTGATGGCAAACACTGACGGTTTATTTGGAGCTTCGACCGGAGAATTCACAAGACATGTCACGGGCCACGGTCTGACCACACGGTTGAGATGCCACAATCAATTCTGAAGACCCCTCCTGTAGCTCCAGGTTTTAACTAGTTCAGAGTGTAATGATCAACATTCTTTATCAGCGAGACTAAACATGATGGACCCTGAATCTAACTAGAGCTGTCGTCCATAGAAACAATGTGTGCCAGGGAACCTACGTTCCTAAAAAGAAGGGCTTCTAGATGTCCCTGAACAATAAACTATCTCATGACGGCTTGTGCTCGGTCATAAGCTGGCAACAACAATGCGCCCAAGCTGTTCCTCCTTAAGAGAGATAGCAGCAGAACCCAAGGCTGTAGAACTATGTCATGGGAAAGGAGACAGTGAAAAGAAGAAAATTATGAACTGTGTCAAAGGTTGAATACCTAAGCAAATTATTCCACAACACTAATGATAAAAAACTTCACAAATTATACGATGTTGGCCAAGTTATAGCCAAATTCTGAAACAACTTCAAAAACATTCATCTGCTACTCAGTAATATGTATCTAATATCTAATATATATCATTCCAATAACTTGTATATAGACTCGTACTGCACTATTCCACATGCTCACTTTATTTTATAACTATTTTTCTTTTTGTATTGCTCTTGCTATCTGTATTGTTATTATGTTGCATTGTTGGAGAAGCCTGTGACATAAGATTTTCAACAACATAATTACTCTGTAGCTATGTCAGTTTGACAATAAAGAACCTTGAACCTTGAACCTTGAATTCGTGCAATATAGAATGGAAACACTGAAGTTCAAGTACCTGAAAATTGAAATACTTATAACGGGTAGTAATTTAGCAATTAATACTATGCATGTGATAAAAAATTTCACAGATTATAAATGGGTTATCCCCAAATTGGATCGTGCAACACGTGTGCAGCTAACAGAGTTTTCTGAATCTGATAAAACATGATTCTGTGTCTCCCGGCCCTCAGTGTTACCTTTGCACAGCGGCTCGGTGTCGTTCCAGTAGGGGTCTCTGGCGCTGATGCACTCGATGACGGGGGGGCCCTGCTCCAGAGCGTGACCCTGATCACATGTGAACTGGATCACAGCGCCGACCCCGTACAGAGGGTCAGAGGTCGTGAAGTTCCCGTTCTGAAGGTACGGCTCGTAGCAGTGACCGCGCTCAAACGCTGCGGGAGGAAACACAAGGAAAATCAATAGAAAGCTTCTTTAAAGGTCTCCTACTGTGCAGAATCCACTTCTCCATTTCTCTCTACATCAACATGTGTCCCCTCTTCTTCATGTCTCTTCTTCATCAACATGTGTCCCCTCTTCTTCATGTCTCTTCTACATCAACATGTGTCCCCTCTTCTTCATGTCTCTTCTACATCAACATGTGTCCCCTCTTCTTCATGTCTCTTCTACATCAACATGTGTCCCCTCTTCTTCATGTCTCTTCTTCATCAACATGTGTCCCCTCTTCTTCATGTCTCTTCTTCATCAACATGTGTCCCCTCTTCTTCATGTCTCTTCTTCATCAACATGTGTCCCCTCTTCTTCATGTCTCTTCTTCATCAACATGTGTCCCCTCTTCTTCATGTCTCTTCTTCATCAACATGTGTCCCCTCTTCTTCATGTCTCTTCTTCATCAACATGTGTCCCCTCTTCTTCATGTCTCTTCTACATCAACATGTGTCCCCTCTTCTTCATGTCTCTTCTACATCAACATGTGTCCCCTCTTCTTCATGTCTCTTCTACATCAACATGTGTCCCCTCTTCTTCATGTCTCTTCTTCATCAACATGTGTCCCCTCTGTGTAAAGAGACTCTGAAAGTTTCAGGAACAAAGATTCTCTCTCTTTTTGTCCTGATCCATTTTTATAAAAACCTGTCTGAAAATGAGCTGATCAGATTTTGGCCACTTGATGATGTCATAACGATGTTTTGTCTTGCGTAACCATTAGCCAATCAGCAACCAAGGTAACCCCCCCCCCCCCCCTTATCACCTGAATCTCCTCCTAGAGCACCATTGAGTTCTTTGTAACCAAATGTCTCTCAGAGGGGCGTGGGGAGGGGCTCCTTATTTTCATCTAAAGTAACAGACAGAGAATCAGCACTTTGGAAACAGGGCTGAAACAGAGGGGATTATGGGTAATGCTGCAATGATCTGTTTGGTGTTTCAGCCAATCAGAGACAGGTTCTGGATATATCTGAGACCTGTACTATATTGAGGAAGAACAGTATAATAGGGGACCTTTAAAACATTTGAAACATTGGTCAAAGATGGCTCCCTCTCTTCTCACTGGCGAGGATAATCATGTTTGGACGAGATATATTTCCATCGCTCCATAAACTCACTTTGCCAGAAACTGAAAGATTTATCTGGGATTAGTTTGGACAACCAGCCGACTCAGAGCCAACGTGGACTTGGCAGAACAGAAGCAGAAATAATGAGGCTGTATGCAATTATTCAACTGTGCATCCTCATATCACTTAGCATTATCACAGTGTGCACTTTAAGAAATAATCTGATTAAACCTTTTCTATTGTTATAAGTACTAATACACCACTTTATATATTATAACATACACATTTTTAGATATTTTTGGGTTATGTTAGAGCACAATATGCACATTTCTTTATTTAACTTTTAAGGTTTGTATACATTATTTTTTTATATTTTATTAAACATTTTTTATTGCACTTTTTACTTTGAATATTTAATTTAACTAGATTTCTTATAAGAAGTTAAAGTAAAAATATTGAATAAAATCAAATACAAAATATTTATTCATACACTATAAGTTAGTGTAACTGCAATACAGTATATACAATGTGCACATCTTTTAATTGAACTATATACATTTTTTATAGCACTTTTTATTCTGAATATTTCATTTCAATTTCATTTTTCATAAGAAGTTAAAGTAAAATATTGAATAAAATCTAAAATGATACTAAATATGTATTCATACACTAAAGGTTAAAGTAAAAACATGTTTCTTTAACTCTCACCCTCGTATCGGATGTTGAACCCCGTGGTGTGGTTCGGCTGCTCCGTGATGAACTGGATTCTGACCGCCGGTCCCTCACTGATGACGCCCTCAAACGGGATCTGACCCCCCCGCCCAGAGTCAAACAGAACCACAGAACCAGCATCCAGACCGGACCACAGAACCAGCCTGGGGGGGGGGGGGGGGGGGGGGGAAATCAGATTTACTCAATGGGACTCTTCTGTTGGGCACGGCCGGGTCTTTGTTTCTGCACATGTCACACACCCATACACGCAATCATTACTGGTGACTGACTTCCACATTTGCTTAGGTGTCTTTGAAGTCCTTTGGTTTTTTGTTATATATCGTAAATAAATACGCTTTTTGTTACACTTAAAGGTGGGGTAGGTAATTCACTTCAGAAACACTTTTTGTTATATTCCATGGAATGCTCTTAACATCCCGATAGCAATGAATATCTGAAGTGCTTTGACAATAAATACATTAAAAAAAATCATCTGTGGAAGCCGTGGTACTGTAAAAAGCACGACCAATCATCTGAGCCGGCCCGGCTAAAATAACTGGATGGCCTACCTGCCTGTCAGCCTTCCATCTGTGCACAAACTTATCTCGTGCCCTCATTGGTCATGTGCGCGTTCGTGTGTGTTGGAGGAGGGGCTCTGTAAGGAAGTGGCAGATTCTTTCCGGTTGTGTATTTTCAAATTCTAGCGCACTCGAGCTGGTTCCTCCATTCTTACCTACCCCACCTTTAACTTGTCTGTTCTCCCATCTTTGATGCAGCCTATGAGCCGGGCCGTAACAAAGATACTGTACTTTTTACTCCATAACACATATTGTACATTTCAATTTATCTGACAGCTTTGGTAACTTTGCAAATAGAGATTTCTACACAAAAGAATATGAAGAGTTTATAAAATATGACCATAAACCGGTTACAAGTGCAGCTGAAACGACGAGTCAATTAATCAATTAGTCAATTAATCAATTAGTCAATTAGTCAATTTAAATGTACTTTATTGGATTCTGATTGTTGTCATTTTTATTTTATTTTAAATCATGTAAATAATATTAATATATTAGTAATAATGTTTAGGTTTGGACTCATTTTGAGAGCTTTTCTCATTAATGACCCCATTTACCCCCCCCCCCCACACACCTGTCAGTGGGCCCCAGGGCGAGCCTCTCCAGGTGGAGGTGCAACCTCTGGTCCTTGGGAGCCTCCAGGGCCCAGGAGCAGGAGCGGTCCTGGGGGGCGTTGGGTCCGTGGTGAGGGGAGGGGGAGAGGACCCGGCCCACTGAGGCGTTCTTCACCGACCCCCCACAGAGAGCTGAAGACAGGAGGGAAAAGCACAGAAATCAAGAGTCCATAAAGTGCTCTGATATAAAGACACACCTTTATGTAAAGTTTCATAATAAATTAAATTAAATATTTCAAAAAATAAAGCACAAAAATAAAAAGTTGTATGTTGTCTCCTCCTGAATGTTGTACGTCTCTTGTTTTTTTGTTTTTTTGATGGCACCTTAAAAATAGGAATAGCTCTACTCATCTCATTGTACCTGTATAATCAACCCAGTCTCATTTCGTGTTATTAGTCACGAAATCAATTTAATCTATTGATTCGTGTTCACCAACACGATTTCCCCCTTTTTTTCGTGTCACACAGAACGATTTTAAATGCAATGTATTTCTATTGGTAGTATGTTTCGTGCCTGCAACACGTCTTTTTGTCCGGTCGGGTCTTGGAAGGCCAGAAGCTGTGTGGTTCATAAAAACATGTTCTTACTCAATATCTTACCCTAAGCCTAACCCTATCCCTTTTATTTTAAATTGTATAATGTCGGAGTTTTTTTGCCGTCCGCGAGGAAAAGAAATGGCTCAGAGCCTCAGAATACTGACATCTGTATTTTTTAAATATTTTTTTCCTTCAAATTTGTTATTATTTACATTGCTTTTAAAATCGTTCTGTGTGACACGAAAAAAATGCGAAAATCTTGTTGGTGAACACGAATCAATAGATTAAATTCGTGACTATAACACTAAATGCCGTGAGACTGTGTTGGTATAATGACAATAAAGGATCATATTCTATTAGTATTAATTAGACATTAGTTGCACACATCCTCACCCCTGCAGAGCGGCACCTTCCCGCTCCACACCGGCAGCGATGCGTTCAGGCAGGTGAGCTGCGGCGCCCCCTGCAGGTTGTACCCCATGTTGCAGTGGAACCGAGCCACTCCTCCAGGAAGCAGGTCGAGCACCGACACCTCCCCGAAGTGAGGCCTCTTCGGCAGGGAGCAACTCAGCCGGAAGACTGGAGGGTAAACAGGGGGGGAGTCAGATAGAAATGAGTGTCCGGGTCTGGAGGTTCAAGAACAGACGTGTGTACAATTTTCCAAATAACCTCGTCAAACTGTTTGACCTTGACACCAGAGATAACCCCAAAGGTGAAGAGTCCTTCTTCCTGTTCGTGCCGCCGAAGGACTGTTCC